ACAGAAACACGGTCAAGTATCCACAGCGTCTTCGAAAACGACGTGATACGAGTGTGACATAAAGTCATTTGCATCTAGGTTTTCCGTCAACAATCAGATATATCAAATGTTTACACATTGCATGTAAATTAATTTATTTGCAGAACTTCAATCAACAAATAAAGATGTAAATAATAAACGAATATTGACAGACTAGTAACGGTATGCGTGGTTGAAAAGAATCAATGCAAGGATTAAAAAACAAAAACAGACAACAACAGATCAGACAGCTGCCAGCACAACTTAAATTGGCAGCAAAACTAGAACACATGAAAATCTGGGAAACCACTAGCAATTAATTTTATACAACAGGATCCAAATTTTCATGTAGGGAGGGCAAACTATATGGGCGGTCAGTGAGTATAAATATGTTCTTGTGGAGGAAAATGAGTTTTCACATTGGGCAACAAATTATAGAGCTGCATTTTTCTAACTGATGATACCTCAAGGAGAAATAAACATTTAAAAAGAAAATATAAATACAATTCTGTCAATTTCAAAGACCATTTCAGTGCAGTTGTCAACTGCGCATCATCACATCATTAACACAAATAATAGAAAAGGGAAAACAAGAAAGAAGAAGACATTACAGGGCAATGTATTTACCCAACTATACCAGGAGAGAGCAGAGGAAAAGGAAAGTCTACTGACTAGGCAGCTAAATTGACATAAACAAAGTTGTTGACATGGTGGCAAATTTTTATGGCACTTCTAGAAACACACAAAAAAGAGAGCCTAGCTTGTGAATTATCAGGAACGCTACTAAAACTATACCTGAATTCTCGAGAGAAGTACTTCATAGCAGAAGTTATATGATACAAACTTACGAGAAATCAAGCCCAAATGGAAGCGCAATTACGTCATTAGGACTTGTGGATTTTGAATCCAAATACTCGTGGAACATAGCTCTGTGATGCCTTTTGTGGCTTCAGGTGCCCATATGTCATGAGGAACAGGTGAGGAAATGTAGTCCCAAAATAAGCTCCATCTATGTCTAGGTATAGTTAAAGAAGTTCACAGTACATATTGCAAAACCAAAGAACCCAAAAAAAGGCTGAGGCAAATATGATTCATAACAGATGGATATTTGAATGAACTCATAATGATCAGTTAATCATGCCTGCCTATTTTGTTATAGTGCTAGTATTCACAACTGATGTTTAGAAGTTCTTTCTTTCTTAAAAAAGAAAAAAGAGAAAACAATTCTTTTACCACTCTGACACACTGACTAAATAATTACAGACCAACTCTAAACCCATAATGCTTGTAGCATGAACTTATTCCACAGTAGGACAAAGTTTGGAAATGACTTTCTTTGAAGACATTCAAAATGTGCACATTAAAATTACAAAACAGGATTAAAAACACGCGAGCAAATACTCCTACTGAAAAATTCAAGCCATGCCAGCAATAACCTTGAATTTGGTAAAAATTGACATTAAACAATGAATAAGGAAAAAGCAATTTATTAGTTATGAGACACCATATTCCACATGTATGCATCGAACCATCCATCTAGCAGAAAAATAAATTAATTTCTTGCCCAAATGAGCTGTTAACCAAGTTTAATATGTTAAAGCAACGTTAGGAAATTATATTCAATGGGACAAAGGATAATGCCTTGATATTTAGATCTAGGGTAGTAGATATCTTCACATCTGGGGCAATATATTTTCACAGTGCTTGCACGGGGAATGTCTGATTGACCAACTGGGAGACAAGGTTGTCCACAGCAATAAACTCTTGGGCACCTTCCAAAATCATAGTTCTTGTACTTGTCCAACTGCAGAAGTTTCAATAGCATAATTCCACCCACTGGCAATCATCACATAGATGAAGCATGAAGGATTTAGTAAGAAAATAAAAAATCATGAGAAAAATCTCACCATGGCAGCCATTCCCTTGCTGGTCAATATATATCGAGAATGAATCAAACCATAAAGCATCTCCGCTGCTGATTCTATGAGTTCATTTTGTTCCTCAGTAAACATGTCGCCTAATGGTTCCAGCCAATACAAGCAGATCAGTATTAAGCTTAATTTTCCGACAATTAATAGCAGATCCAAAACTCCAACTAATCTAACCAGAATATTATTATGTTGAAACAAATTATATTTTCAGGAAGAAAATCAGAAGTTCATAAAACTACAGTTTACATGATAGGTTTCTGACAATATGATATCAAGAAACATGACAAGGACACATGGGTTATCTATCACTTTGAATTATAGGCATCAGTAAGAGATAATCTAACGGTCCCAAATTATACACTTCAACAAGAATACTGAAGAACACAGCAAAATATTTCAACAAACTTACCATGAGACGATTCAACATCCAAAATTAAATCAAGAGCATAGTCATAGTACGGAACTTGACTGCTTAGTCCACAGAGATTAAAATCATCCTGTATGTAATCATCATCGACCTCACAAAAAAATTCATTTCCACGCAAGTTGCAGAACCATGAGATCCAAGATGTGTCCTCTCCATCAGAACCACTAACATCTGACTCTTCACTATCTGTTTCAGATTCCTCTACAAACAAAATAATAAGAAGATATATATTGGTGAGAATTGTTGCCAACTTGGGAGATGAAAGAAGAACATGCAAACATAAGATAGGACACAAATACAAGGAGTAGATAACCATTTCTTGCATATAAGAATGTTTTATTTACACAATGGGCGGACACAGAAACAAGAACAAAAAGTTACTTTGACAAAATGGCAAAACACAGCCATTTGAAATACAAAGCAAGCATGCATTCGACCATATCAGGCTACACATTATACTCGAAGCGACCTGAGAGGCTTATCAAGAGGGGTTTGAGATTATTATTGCTGCTGAAAAATAATTTAAAGCACTTTGTTTCATCAAGACTCCCAGTTCACGAACCTAGCAACTTCATATTAATTACTGGTGGTGCCTTTAATGCAGCTTATAGGATTAGGCATGCCAGACAAAAAGAGGGTTCTTAAAAGATTTAAGATTTAAATGAAGAATCAGGTTCTTTTAAGTTTCCTTAAGATTATAAACTTTATTCCTATTCAGAATGTTCCTATTTAAGTATGTACAAGTTTTCTCGTGCATTTGTTCCTAAAAGAGATTTCTCAACTGGAACTACTGATTTAGAGAAGAAACCAGTAAAAAAACCGATCAAC